CTCCACCCACTAGGAAATAGCTCTGTGTCCAGACATAGCAAAAAGGCTGTAATACAGTGGTCTCCTGATCATTGCTCCCTCATCTAAGAAATACATGAATTTCTTTGTCACTTTCAGAAAAAAATGAATAAATTCAGAGGACTGTTCACTTTGTGGCTTAAAAAGACAAATTGAAATCCCATGACAAATTGCTGCTTCTGCACTCAATCTTCTCACAGGCAGATGTCAATGAAGGGTCCTGTGTGGAACACCTTAGTGATACATGACAGAGGTCCAACTCCTTTTATAAAGGCACAGATTTCTATGCAGTGCCAGTTGGTCACCAAAAAGAATGAATTAAGTGCAAGGCATTACTTAAAAGGTAAGTGGAGGTGAATAATTTGTTCATCACCATACATGTCAAGGACTACAAAGACCTCACACTCTCTCTTGTCTCACTAAGTCCCCACAGAATTGGGCAGACCACTAAGGCTGGCATAGAGAGGCAGAAAATTCTATTGTCATCCAGGGACATCTTTAGAAATGTGATTTCAGAACATCGTCTTAGAGCATTTTTAAATGTTTCTCACTCTCGATAGTTGATTTTTCAAAATGGCCCCCATCGGCTCATCTGTTTGAATACATGAGCTGCAGTTGGTGAAACTGTTTAGAAAGAATTAGGAAGTGTGGCCTTGTTGCAGGAGGCATGTTACTCAAGGCTTTCAGGTTTCAAAGATCCACACCATTCCAAGTGTGTTTTCTTTCTCTGCCTCCTACTTCAAGATGTGAGCTCTCAGCTGTTCAGCCACCATCATGGCCTCTAACCATCTGGAACTGTAAGCCAAATTAAATGCTTCCTTTCATAGGTTACTGTGGTCATGGTGTTTTGTCACAGCATTAGCAAAGTAACTAAGACACTAGGGAAGGGAGAAGGGCTCAGCTCACACTGTGAGGACTGGAGCTTTTATGCTGAGCTCCTTCCTGCTGACCAGGTGACAGAAGTTCCCTGATTGAATAGAGGCATCTCATTCACCCTCCCACAGAAAATACTATCCAGGGATAGACTTGACTTAAAGACTATCCAAGGATTAGGAGCTTCTAAACCTCCCATCTTGGCCTTGTTGGCCTGGGATCGAAAGTTACTATTAAATTCGTAGGTTTGGCTTTTGGATAATGACTGTCCTGGAAGAACTTGTCTTGCTATAGGGACCTGTCTGGGGTACATACCTACAAGAAGATGAATCATAGTCATATAATTCCTGGGAGAGAATCTCAAGAACACAAGAGTGGGGAGTCTCTGTGGGACCCAGCTCCTTCTAAATGGTCTGAAATTGCTTTATATCACAGCTCCATCTGCAGACTCTTGGTCTCTGGGAGCATATCAATAGAGGCAGGTTTGGAGAACGCAATGGGAAGACATAAGGTCACTTCTTACTCATTCCAGCATCTTGGATCTTCAGGAAGGACTATGTATGACCTCAAAAAGTACCTATAGTAGTTACTTTCCCATAGCTTTGACAAAACACCCAACAAAAGCAAGTTAAAGAATAGTCTGACCATAGTCTGGGAGTATAGTTTATCATGGCAAGGAAGGCATAGTGGCAGAGGAATACGGCAGCTGGTCATATTGTGTCTATAGTATGGGATCTCAGAGAGTGAATGAACCATATTCAGGGTGGGTGTTACCCCTAAAGCTAAACCTTTCTGGAAACACTGCCATTGATATATACAAAGTTGTGTCTCCCAGGAGAATCTAAATCCTGCCAAGCTGATAAGACTAGCCATAGCAATAATCTACTTGACCTGACAGACAGTTTTTTTTTGTTGTTGTTTGTTTTTGTTTTTATTGTTTGTTTGTTTTTTGGCAGGAGTCAGTCAGATTTATACATCCAAAGCCATCAACTGCATCCCAAAATGTTAGAGGCCACAGCAATAAACATCGTCCCATCTTTTAGTCAACCTAGTATTAGAAATCTGTACTGGCGACATGGAAATGGCAAAGTGTTATCAAAGCCAATGTGCCAGTGCTGAAGAACGACAATTTATTGACTCAACAGGAGCCCCTATTCTTGAGTGGGAAAACCTAGAAAGCTGCCATGCATGCCATGACGACTTCTCTGTAATGTTTAGTGGTTACTTCCACTCTGATTTCTAAACCAGATGACATACTTTTGCTGAGTCCCCCCAAAATAATTCCACTTGAATTTTAAATAAAGTCCCAGCTCTCTAAAACATACAGCACACTCTAAAAGCAGGTTGAAACTATAAAAAGACCCACTCTTCAGTTAGTAGGAACTCCAAGCACGAGAAGAGGCCATGCAGCAATGAGTCAATTTTCTGGTCCCAGGGAAGATGGATGAGTTTGCATCAGGAACACATTCCACTAAATAGTAAATAACAAGCTTTCAGGAAATGGCACTCACCAGGTAGTTTAAAATACTTTTGTGTTTTGAAAGCTTGTCATTGTGACATATTTCTCCTCCAAGGGAATTTTAGGGAAAGTATCATTTGTGCCTACATTATCTGCACAATCAATTTAATTCCATCTGAGTCTGAATTCCCCAAGTGGTATCAGCTGTGCCAGGGCTCATCAGAAATGCAGGGGTAGAGAAGAATCGAGAACCACCATTACAATCATTTATCCTCCTATTTCTATATATGACATATTGGTCCAGCAGTCACCCTTTGCAAGAAAGTTCTCAGTGTTTTTTGAAGAGGAACAATATTGTTATTTATTCTAAAGGGGCAGGTCAAGATGAAGTGACTCCAGAAAGATGTGTGGAGCCATATGCCTTGCTCCTCACACCAAATTCTGTAATATCAAATTCATGCAGTGCCCAGACCTGTGAAATTCCATTTGCCAAATGTAGTGGGGTTCATTAGCAGTGAGCCATGAGGCACTGCAAAAAAAAAAAAAAAAAAAAAAAAAAAAAAGTGGGGCTTCAGACATGATAAGCTTGCCTTCTGCCCGACACCAAGGCAGACCTGTCTTCCACACACAGGGCAGGCCAACTTCTGCACATATAGAGGAAAAGTTGATTTCTGTGAACACAAGGAGGCTTACCGTCTGCCACACAGAGAAGGCTAGCCTTCTGTATATATAGGGCATACTCAACCTCTCTGGTGCATATACTGGATCAGGAATGAATGATTTCCAGAGCTTTTTGGAATATGCCTGGTCCAAAGTTTGACACCTCCCTGGCTACTGAATATTTTCCTTCAGGAAAGACAGTCTCACCAAGGCAGCCCTGGGTGACCTAGTGAGCCTGGAGGTACATCAGCATATGACAGGCACCAGCCCCTCCCTTAGCTGCTGTGGATGTAGACATGCATAACTGCAGAAACTGGAATAGCTCTGCAGGAAACATCTGTGCTTTTTTCAAAGTCAGTTTTTTTTTTTTTAATTCTGGAAATCATTCAGATGATTAGAACCAAAATTAATGTTTTGCTGTTATTTAAATGCCAACTGCTCAGAATCTGAGGCCAGTCCATTTCCCTCGAACCACAGGGGGCTTGTCTCAAGTTTCAAACTCAGTGCACTTGTGCACAGACCAGCTGGGACAGGTTGGCTGACAGTCATGTCATAGACAAGAAAGGCAAAAAAGCTGCACTTCCTCCCATTCCCCGGACCCTTGAACCATCAAGGACTCTGCATAAAAATCTCCTATGGCCACACAGGTATTTCTTTGACCCCTCCTCCCCCACAAAATGACCTTTTAAGGGCAAGAGTTGAGGCAGTCAGAAAGCAGAGGCCTTCAAGACTGGGATGATAGGCTTGGCCCCAGGGTCACACAGAGTTCTGTTTCTGCTTTATGGTAGCCCATCCTTCACACACCCAACATCACCTCCAGAGTGAGGCACAGCAGCAGGAGCCCAGGGATGAGAAAAACCATCCCCTGCTGGCAACAGTGTCTGCACTTTACCCTTCATAGTTCTCCTTCTCCCTCCAATTTAACTGGGGCATTCATTGGAGAGAAGGATTCACCCTATGTTCCAGCTATCAGGGACACGCTGAACCAACATCTAGTTTCCCCATCATCTTTTTGTTTACTGAAATATCTCAGAATGAAGGACCAAGGATGTGAAGATGGATAGCAGTTCTGAAACAGGATTTCATTCTTTGTTATTCCAAATGTCTGCTTCTTCTTCTTCTAAGGGACATTTGTTTTTTTAAAGAAAATGTTGCCAACATGCTTGACCAAAACCTTTGAATTCTGGTCCAGAACTGTGGAGACCCTAAGAGGAGCGCATAGAGAAGCCAGGTGCAATGGGGAAGGTACCTGATGAGCTCAAGCAAGTCTCAGATTCCAGAGAAATAAACATCCAGGTCCTACCTAGGCCAAAGACAACTAAGTTCATGATGTAGCCTGAGAAATACTGCTTGGCATTCAAGACTCGCCCCTACTCTTCTCAGCCCATAAAGGTGCCTAAAGCCACATCCTTCCTTTCCTGTCCTGTTCTGAGGACTTAGACACCATATTGTCCCAGCATATTCCCTGTATGTGATGCTCAGTATACAAAGGACAGACTAATGACCTTGGGAGAGGCACTCAAAAGGAAAGGACAGATGTTCTATCCCACATGTGTAGCCATGCAGTGACAAGCCAGCTTGTCATGTCACTAAGTACTACATGTAGTTCTGCGGACAGCTCCACAGGTTCACTTCCAGATGAACTTATGAGACAGGAACTGGATGCATTGCAAGCAAGACCCAGAGAGGCAATATCCAACCACAACTGCCTGCCTTAACTTAGTATTTTACACAGCACAGGTCAGGTGTGCCATGAGTAGTAGGCCGCCATGGTCACTTCCACAGGGTTCTGGAAACTGAATGTGTACTTCTGAACTTTAATGATGTGCCCAGATCAGGTGCCAAGAGATAACTCATGCCATCTGCTTCATAGTTAAGCTATTTGTTGTTGTTGTTGTTGTTGCCCAAATTCAATGTAGTCAACATGTTTTCTTTGCATACCACCAAAGCAGCATGGGAAGACACAATAGGATAGGACAGTGCCACCTACCTATTCCTCTTAGTTTTCACACTTTGGTCCTCACTGCCATCTTCTGAACTGGATCCGTCACTGCTGTCAGCTGAAAGAAACAGCACATTAGCACAGCTGTAGGGCCAGTCTTAGTGTTCTGGAAACCAGCAGGCAGCTGTGGTACTCAAACAAACCCATCTAAAAATTAGGAAACTGGATTTCTCTTAGACACTGGGATTACTCTTATGAACTTGCTTTCTTTGATACATATGCCTCTGAATTTCAGTAGAAAAGATACCTGACTGTTGATGTCAAAGAGGCCTTGCCCAGCCCCTGTGCCTCCAGAGGTCATCAGGTCTTCAGAGGGACTGGGTGAGTAATTCAGATAAAAACCAACCACCGCTCTACCCTCAGGATCAGCCCTTCCCACACACTTATGAGCACTGCCTCTCTGCCAGTTGGCCACTGACGTGGTAGCTTCTCCACATTGGCCTCTTGGTATCCAGGGCTTCCCTCCATCCACTGCAATAGTTAACAGGCCCTTTCAGCATGCCATATAATCTTCCCCACAGACTACCTGTTTCCAAAGCCCAATCATTTAAAAGATGTGTTACTGTTTTCAAGCTGCATATCACAGCCCTGAAAACACAGAATGGCAAGCATGTATTGGTGCATTGTATGATTGTAAGAGAGCAAGAAAGAGTGAGAGATGGTTCTAGAGCCTTGTCAATTCTGACCCATTGTGTGGACTATGGTCACAGTAAAACAAGAGGTAACCTAGCCTCGCCCCCTCCCCTTTGTGTCTGCATACTCCCAAATTCACCATGTCTAAAAGCCAGTCATAGTATTGACAGCAGAGAAAGGGTGGAGTCCACTTAGCAGAGTGTGCCTCCAGGTCATCGCCACATTTCCACTTGGGTCACATTCACCCCATCAGTTAATGTGTATTGCCTTATCTTTCCTGGAAGACCAAGTGTTCTTGCCCCCCCCCTCTCTCTCCCTTTCTCTCTCTCTCTCTCTCTCTCTCTCTCTCTCTCTCTCAATACATTCTAATATGATTTTTTTTTTTCAAGACATGGTTTCTCTGTATTGCTTTAGAGCCTGTCCTGGCACTCACTCTGTAGATCAGGCTGGCCTCCAACTCACAGAGATCCCCTGTATCTGCCTCCAGAGTGCTGGGATTAAAGGTGTGTGTCTCCAATACCCGGCCATATATGAAATTTTTATCAATCAAAAATAAATAAAAAATCAAATGCTATACTTCTTATGCCCTGCATTTAGTATCCTAGGAGAGCCTGTCTGTCTATTCATACATAATTCTGCTCTCATTGTGGGCTGTGCAGCAGTTAATGGAATGAGAGGGCCAGATTTCAGAGGCTTCCGGCTTATCCATGAGACTACACGTGTCTTCTAAGTACTTCTCCTGTCTGTGTGTACAGAGGTATGATTCTAGTTTGACTGTGACAAGTGACTGACCAGTTTGTATCCACTTGTCTTTCCTATAGCCTCACTTAGGGATGAGGAGACAAGCAGTGTCAGGTCACCCTGGAGCACTGGGCGGCTCTAATCTTTCACCTCAGCATACTCCAGAGAGGCCATGACAAATGACAACCTTAAATGCAAAGGCTATTTAATAATTGCACAGATACTATTCAAGATAAACATGTGTACGTAATGTTGGTTATTGTTTTGGAGGGCTTTTGATTATTTTGAATAAGCTCAACATGAGTAGACATTCTTTGTCCAGATATAAAAATTCGTAAATCACAAAAGAAAATATCTGCAAATTTGACTGACTTTAAAAGTATAATATCAAAATAAATCTGCCAGGTTGGCCTCTGCCATTACCAGTGATTACAATCATCTTCCTCACACCTGGGAGCCTATGAGCACCGCTACTCAGGAGGGCAGTGCTGGGACAGGGAGAGGTTGCCATCCTCCACTCAATTCATGGATGATGGAGCAGAAACAGCTGCGACCATGTACAAAGAAAACAACATACTACCTGAAGTTTGCATGAAAAGTCAGAGATGGTTTGAACCAGCCAGCAGCAAGCCAAGTCAGCAATTCCCCCAAAAGTAGGGAAAAATACTTAAGAGAGTTTCCACCCGAAAGTACCCAGAATGCCTAGTTGAACCAACTGACAAAGCACACAGAGACAGAGAAACAGCAAAGAATTTAAAAGACTAGTCTGAAGAAAGCACATAGGCTGACTTCACTTGGATACATCAGACATGGACTAAGAACTGAGAATGCAGAAAGCCTTAATAGCAAAGCAGAAAGGAAGCTTCAGACACTAGACCTCATAATGATTTCTTCAATGGGACAACAGAAATATAGCCAATGTGGAGGACTGGGGAGATGGCATGGTGGTTACGCATGCGCACCACTCTTACACAGGACAGGAGTTTGGTTCCCAGCATCCATGTAGGGTGGCTCATGACAACCTGTACCCCAGCATCAGAGGATCTGATACTCTCTTCTAGAATTTGTGGAAGGATACCAGGTGCCAAGGGGAAGAGACCATAGGAAGCTACTGCCTGATAGAGCTTCAGTTTAGGGAGATGGAAAAGCTCTAGAAGTAGCTAGTAGTGATGGTATACAACATTATAAATAAACTTAATACCACTAAATGTACATTTTAAGATGGCTAACTGGTAAGCTGCATGCTACATATATTTTTCTCAGAATGAAAAAATCATGAGCAAACTGTTTTATGGAAAAGATCAGAGCTCTGGAAAAATACTGAAAAGATATTATAGTCAAACACATTAATCCCTCAATTTACAGGCGTCCCAATAACTCAACCAGAAAGACAAACATGAATATATTCCCAGGAACACAAAACAAATGGCCAACAAACCCCTGAGAATCACTCAAAATTAAAGAAATGCCAGCTGAAACAAAGAATGGCTTTACATTAAGTTCTGGTGATGTACAATGCTGGTACAGAGTGAATCAGTGGGAGTATGTATTGATTGATTGATCCCTTCAGAGGTAGATGTCACAATATTAGAAATTTAAAATGCACACACCTGATGATGTAGCAATTCCAGTAATATGAAATGACACAATAGATATTCTTGTGAAAATGTGGGTATATATTGACATAAGCAAACACATGTTAAGCTACAGAATTCATAGAATGTTGTTTATTATCCAGCATTAAATCCCATGTATCTCTGAGATGACATTTCTTTCTGGGAGTTGAGGGATTACTCTGACTATGAAAGAGTGCATCAGGTACAATCTGTGGTTGAAACTCATTAGGGGATCATGGAATTAAATAGTGGTAGGTGAGGTAAGTGTGCATTCAAATGAGATCCTTGAGCTGTGATCTGTACTTGAGTTCCAGATAGTCATAGTTTATAGAGGACGGTGCAGCCATTCCTCCCTATCAACTTTCCAGGCAAGATATGCCCATGAGTACAACAGTGGCGTGACTGTTATGGAAACAATCAACTATTTTCTGGTTGAAGTTGAGGCCTGGTCTACAGAAGAATCCGTGTTTGGTACTACAATTCAGGGGGGGAAATGGTTGAGACTGGGGAAATTACAGGCCTCAGAGAAGAGGTTTCTGTTATTATTATGTTAAATAGATGTGATGCGCCTGTCAAACTCCTCCAAATATTTTTTGCTTATGTATGTAGATTACCACTGCTGTCAGCTCACACAGTTCAAGGAGCCTACTAATTTTGACAGTGGGCAACAGTTATTGCAGAGGCTTCATTCATGGTGACAGAAACGATCTATTCTATTTCATCCCTTTCTGAGGTTTCAGAGACATCAGAGAACATGATAGAAGAAGGTGTGGAAAAATTTAAAACTAGAGGAAAGGGAGCAGTTCCCCCATGTTGGACATGCCTATCACTATCTTGAAGCAGAGTAGGTATAGCACGCTCATGAGCCCGGGCCTCCTCAAATTTCCTTGTGGAGGGAGAACCTTATAACGCTCACAGGACCCTCATAAGACCTTTATAAGATCTTCATGAATTCACAGCATATAGTTTATTAGCCAGCATTAAATCCTTCCTTTCTGAGATATATAAGAGATAAGCAATTGACTGGAGTGGGTCTCTTCATTAGTGCTACTGTGCATGTGCTGCCCAGAGGACTGGCTACTGTAAGGCTGCCTTTTGAGTTGCCCATGTAAGCAACCACAGTAAATGCATTGGCTCCCCAAGCTGACTTAGACAGTCCTTTCTCTTTTCTGCTAGTAGCTTCTCTGACACAGATATACTTTCCTTATGTCTCTCCGGAAAAAGTAATGGTTCTCTGGTAACAGAAACTATAATGGAGCAAGACTGCTGCCAGCAGGGTAGGCAGCTAGCTCCAGCAGAGACAAAGGCCAAGGACAAGTTACAGTCAGACTAAGCCCACTTCACAGCAGCTCCCTCTGCAGGTCCATCTAGACACCCACAGGTACTAGCACTGTCTTCTATGTGCTGCAGGGCACATTTGAATTCTGGGACTATGGCAATGACAAAGAAGCTCATGTTAAGAAAGAACATGGATTGAGTGGAAGTTGATGCTGCAGGCTGCCCATCCAGGAGATGGATTCCATGGAATGGTTTGTTTGGTTGACTTAGGTTCCCTGCTGAAATTCCAGAAGGAAGCAATGTTCTTCAAGATCATTGCCAAAGGCTTCAACAAGTATGCTATCGATATCGTATGCTCTAATGTGAGTGTGAACTTTCTAGCCTTCCTCTTTTTAGCCCATAAATGGGTGTCTAGGCCTCTCAAATTGGTCTGCTCCTCTTGCCTCAGGGTCTGCAACATTCCATATGTTTGTACCACATATGTGAGGTTCAGTGTCATCAGCCCTGTCTCAGAGGCAATCAAGATCAGTGGCCTGGATGTTTATTGTTCTTGGTTTGCATACCTTTAGAAGGCACATGGCTTCCTGATCTGCATGTGCTCACTTGGAGGTAATGCTAAGTTTCAAGCCTGGGCTTGAGTAACCTCAATTTAAAAAACTAATTGGTTTAAAGAAAAACTAAGTTCCCTCCTCCTTCTCTTCCTCTCCCCACTCCTTCTTCCCTCCTTTTCTCTTGTGCTAGGTGAGAAATGGGTGAAAGTTTGGTTCTGACAAACCACACTAATTAGGGT